AATCACCTGCTCACATTCTCTGTTTGGCTCTGATTCTTTCTGCCACTAAGATGAGGTTCTGACTAAGACCTTATACCAAAGACCACATATTTCTATTTCTATAAAATATGAAGCAGGTACAGTAGTAGGCTAAAATAACTTCACAGAGGCTGGTATCCTGTCACCGTGGAAAGACCTTGACACTGATCCTGTCTGTCCTCACTCCGTCTCTCTCTCTCTCTCCCACTATGTCTCTATCTGTGTCTTTCTCTCTCTCTCCTTTTCACTCTAGCTTTCACTATTTTTCTCTCACCCACACTCAGAGTGGACGCTGAGAGAATGTTTCCCTAGGTTGGGGAATCTAGAACAAGGGGGCGCTGTTTCAGGATCAGAGGCAGTTCATGAAGGACAAAACTGAGGAGAACCATTTTTACTTAAAGGGTGTGAATCTTTTGGAATTCTCTACCCCAGAGGGTTGTGGGTGGAAATGAAACAAAATGAAATTTAAAGCTGAAAGAAAAAAGCAAAACTGGGGTCTCTTGGAGAATTAAGGGTTATGTGAAAATGGAGTTATAGTCCAAGTTCAGTTGTGATTGTATTGAATGATGGAACAGACTTGATGGGCTGAATAGCCTGTAGTGACTATAATGAGGTCAGCCAGGTGAACCTCATAGAATATGGGTTTCCTGACTGGGTCTGTTAACCTGGTCCAATCAGGGATCCCTGGCTGACAGATACAAACAGGAGTGTCGGAGGTTCTGTTCACTCTAAGAGCTGGCTCCAAGGGAGATGGATCAGCGTGAAGGACTCTCCATGTGTAAATAAAAGGTGACTTGGTGACAGGATACCAGTCTCTGTGAAGTTATTTCAGCCTACTACTGTACCTGCTTCATAATTTACAGAAGTAGAAATATCTGGTCTTAGATATGAGGTCTTAGTCAGAACTTCATCTCATTAACAAAGGTGAATTTTGGAAGGAAACTACTTTGTTGCTTTTTCTCCTGCAAAGACAGCAGCAGATTGAGAGAGACAGCTTTGATAGTTCCATGTTGTTATGGGTATAATGATTGAGACAGGGTTAATCTCCAGGAAAACTGTGTGGGCTGTTTGAAAGACGACAGCTTCTGAGAGAAAGGGAAAGGATTTGCTTTAAGTTAGCACCTTCAGTGTACTTTCCAGCCAACAAAGTGGATTCCGAAGCATTGCTTCTGTTGTAACTTCAGTATCTGAGACAAAACTTCATGAATCTTCTGCCACTCTGTTTGAATGATTTCCACTGAACGACACAGCTCCTGTACTAACTCA